GGAGGGTAGTTTAAAAAGAGACTGGAACCCTGACTCGAGGGCAAGAGGGGAAGGCTGGGGGTATGGCTGGGTCTGTGCGGGGTTCTGATCTGAGGCTTTGGACGAAATGTAAGGGCCTTTAATGAGGGTGACAGGTGTTTGGGTTTGGAGGAGGGCTTTAGGGGCAGTTAATGAGGGGGGGCTTGAGGTTTCAGAGAAGGATGTTAGGGAAACCTATCAGGAGTTAGTATAAAGGAGAAGGGCATCGGCTAACCCGGGACTGGAGAAGGACGGGGGTTGAGGAGGATGGGTCCTGTGAGCAGGAAAGGAGGCGGCAGAGGCGCGGAGGGGATGCTCTCAGGATCGGGGAGAACAGGGAGGAATGGGGGCTGGAGCCAGGCAAGGGCATCGAGGCCTCCACACGCCGGTCAGGACTAAATGGGCATTCGGGTGGGCGCTGGGGCTCAGGAGCCGAGGATGGAGCTGGAGCTGGGCACTGGCCTCAGGGACCTGGGTGGCGATAGGAGGCAGAGGGCTCGTCACAGGAAGGGATGTTCATATTCAGGGACAAGAGAAGATGGCGGAGGCATTTGGAAAGGAGGCAGGGCAAGGAGCTTCCTAGGGACTAAGCTAGGGAGCAGGGGAGCGATGACCAGAGGGGGACAATTGGGTGAGGACAGAGGGGTTTTTTAAAAATATATTTTATTGATTTTTCACAGGGAGGAAGGGAGAGGGATAGAGAGCTAGAAACATCGATGAGAGAGAAACATCAATCAGCTGCCTCCTGCACACCCCCCACTGGGGATGTGCCCACAACCCAGGTACATGCCCTTGACCGGAATCGAACCTGGGACCCTTGAGTCCGCAGGCCGACGCTCTATCCACTGAGCCACACCGGCCAGGGCGAGGACAGAGTTTTAACGGCATAGAAGACTCCTGACCATGGAAGGGGTAGGAGGAGGGGGCAGCAGGGGCATTGAGCAATGGAATTGGGATACAGAACTACAGAGAATGGGGTCTTTGGAGGCTGGGAAAGAGCAAGGAATGTCTGGGTGGGAAGACTGATGAGGACGTTGGAGAGAGAAGTTACAGGCACGTGGGCTTCCTGTGGGTGTCTGTACGGGTGGGTGTTGAAGGTCAGGGAGGTGACGACAGGATAGGAGAGCAGGGCCGGATAGGGGCTTTGGAGGAGGAGCAAGGGCCACAAGAGTAAGAAGAAACGGAGGGGCAGGGGGGCAGGGGTAGGGTGTGTGGTAGCCGCAGAACTCGGTTTCATCGGGAGAAATGTTGGGGTGCAGGGGGCGGCTTGGCGCCCTGGAGGAGATGAGGCACAGGCTGGGAGCACCTTTCACTGACAGTAGGAATTTGAGGGACATGCGGGGATGTTGATGGAAAGCAGGTGGAAGTTCTGGGGGGCAGGGAGGGGGGCCTCTGGGGGTCCAGCCCTGATGCTCCTCTTGCCCCCCCAGAGCCCCCGCTGCTGGAGGAGAAGGCCCCGCCCTCTCCGCCGCCTGCCCCAGCGCCCCAGCC